CACTACTTCCAATCTTTATGCTTCAGTCTATAATGATATGATGAATATTTTGTATACATACAGTTTTAGTTTGCATTTTTCTTAGATAAATCCTAAAATTTTGATATTTGGGTCAGTAGTCTGGTGCCTAACACATATGTCTCTATTAGCTGAGTAGGCTAGGTCATGTTGCAAAAACAAGCCATCATACATCACAATTTCATTTATTTAACAACCACCAAAACGAAATTAAAAAAAAAAACAGCACTTGGGATCTTCAGGATAGTTCCTCTCAAAGAGATGACTTGGGGATTTAGGCTGGGTCTGTTTCGGGCTCCATGACTGAAGTGGCTAGAAAAGAACTGGCTGTACAGGGCCTCAGCTAATCCACTGTACCCATAATCTTGGCCAAAGCCAGCCATGCATTCCCACCCAATTGTAGTGGGCACTGGGAAGTGTTTCTTCTGTGTGCACACAATGAAAAGCAGCATCACTATCGGTGAGGATTAAGGTTTCCTCCACTGGAGTGGTTTCGTAGTATGTCAGTTTAGCTGATCTGGAACTACATTTCCCAGAATTCCCTTACTCTTAAGGTTACACATTAATTCAACAGGAGATATTTCATGAGGGTTGGACAGTAGAAGTCAAGCAGTAGCTAGTAAGTTCAAAAGGAGCAGGTGACAGGCGCCACTGCAGCTCATACTTGGTTTCCTGGCTGACTTTGTTGGTGTGGGGCAGTAGCCAGCGTTAGATCCTCCAGCTCCAATCAGATCTCCTCCTTTAGCTTCTGAGTCTTGGTTCCGAAGCACATAAAGTTCTACGGTGAAGGACACGACTCTCTTTGCTTAAATTACCTGTATTAGAGTTTGGAGGAGTTGGGAGCTAGATGCCAACTTCAGTTTGTCACCGTGGGTTCCAGCTTGCCTTTGCTCTCTCCATTCCACACCTGGGTTTTGTGGGCAACTGCCAACCCTACTGACTCAGAATGACTACAGGCTCTCTGTCGTATGCAAATGCACCATGCATGTCTATAGTTCTTCACCCATTCTCCGCTCTACCCGCATGATGTCTAATCACTAACTGTAACTCTTTGGCCATGCTAGCCATAGTGATCTTGGTTCCTGGTAAAATTCTAGTTGATAGCCATACATTATAAAGCAGGGCCAATTTTAAGGCATTGTGGGCATAGAATTTTTATTTGAGTTCGCTGCTGAGAAGGCAGGATCACAGAGTACTTGACTCAAGTTGAAAGAGAAAATAGGTTATGCCATGCAGAAAGAGGGGTGCAATTGTTCAATATAAAAGTAAAACAAAACCAAAAGCAGTTACAGAGCAGGGAGCAGCCTCTAAAGGCTTTTCCTCTGTGCCAACAGTTGAGGGGAGACGCTCCAGGCAGAGGCACAGCAGTGAGCCCAGGGGTCACGTCTCCTGCATCGATAGAGCCCATCGCCTGCAGAAGGGATGCTTCACCTGGAGCTTCACAGAGCCGAGATAAAAGGGAAGAGGCTAATCTCAGGGAAAATCCCCATGGAAACTGTAAAAGCCAGACTTTCCTGTGAAATTGAGTCCCACTGAGTTGAACAACTAATTTCCGTTAAGAATTTTCTGCCTGCAAAAAGTTTGTCTCTGTTTGCCATGTGACTCCACACAATAGCCCTTGCACCTCTGCTGCAGGCAGCGAAGGAGAAGAGGCTGGAGTGCAGATTTTTTGGCCTAGGGTTGCTCTCCGAAGAGCAGGCCCCCTTGGACTTCCTCAAAACATCCCCAGTCGACCAGACCAGTCGAAGCTGGGTGACTAGCGAAGCCTGGTCACGCTGTCCTCGGTGCCACTCACTCTCACTGGAAGAGGAACTCGTGTCATTTCCCTCCCCCAGCCTTTCCTCTGATTCCAAACAAAACAAAGCATTTCTTGCCACACCACTTCAAGGAACTGCGGCATGTTGGAAAATACCCACATGAGCAAAGAGATCTATTCATAGATTGCATGTGATTCACACCACCCGTGTTGACTTCAGCTGTGGCGTGCTCAGTTCTCTTCTGAGGGCAGCCATCGCTGGAAGCAGTGGATGTGAACACCAGGAAATCTGAGAAGACCAAATGGCCTGTGTCCAGCTGAATTCGCTCAGGGCATCAGCCACGAAGTGGACACATGAGTATGCCTTGGTAAGCTGGAGATATGGCAGATTTCCAGCATACTGCAGGCACCTGGTCCATCTGGATCCGGTCATCAGTGTCTTTGAATCACAACACTTCTGTCCCTCCCTTCTTGTTTTATGTAAAATAATAATAATAATAATAAAATCTTTTCATACCAATGGAGAGACTATTTAGAAACATGGCAAGAAACGAGTAAGGCTCAAAAGGATCATACGCACAAAAGTTATACAAATCCAATTTTATTAATATTAACTTATACATTATCTGGCCTTAACATATCATATTAGAATCATGTTTTCTGAGGCAGATATAGTAATCCCTGTGCTGCAGAGGGGGAAAAAAGTCCACTTCGTGATGTGAGAAGTATTGGCATGATAATTTCATAAATTATTCAAGTCTGCGGAAACACTCCAGTTCAGAGATGGGTACCTGGATTTATTTTCAGATTTCTCAATTTTTACATGCATTTTAGTTCTCTGCTTCATCTTGGTACTGTGGGCTTTCTTCTACCAAATGGAATAGCTTTATCAATAATTATTTCAGATACAGCAGCAAATGAGAGGCCAGAGGGCTTCCAACAGCCTCAGGCATTTTCTAAAAACTGGAATTGGCTGTCAAATTTCAAAAATAGAGAGCTTAGAATGGCTTAGCATGGCGTCCCCATTCCCTATCCTGGGTGTGAACCTCACTGTTTCATGCATTTAGTGACCTGTCTGGCTCCTGCATGCACTTGTGTTTGTTTAAGATGCCCACTCCTGCTGCATCACATATCCCAGCATTCTACAACGCCTATTTGTTATTCAGCACAGCTTTAAAACAGGCTGCAGAGGAGACACCATCTTACAACTGCTCTCCATGAAGCACAATTCTCTGCATGTTTAAGGGGTATCCTTGACTCTGTAATCTGTTACATCATTTGCCCGTGCAATATTTACTTACTTATGTCTGATCTATGGGGTCCCTGAGGGGTAACTCCTATGCTTCTTATAAGGTTTATTCTTTTTGTCCCCTAAGAGAGAATCTTGGGAAGCAGAAGTCCTCTTCTTAGGCTTTTTTCACACACTCTTATGCCCACTCCTCAGTCCTGCGGGGTGGAATGGGTGGTGGTGGTGGTGCATGAGGGTGGACTGCATTGTATCACTGCTTATCATCAAACTGCAAGGCTTAAGGGCTGAGGGCTGCAGCTGTGGGAATCAGCACCCAGTTAATTTTGACTTGACTGAATTAGCTTCTTGATATGATCAATGATCTACTAGAAACTGCATTCTCTTTACCAACAGAAAAAATGTCAGTATGCAAGAAAATAAAGCCTCTTCTAATTTAACTTTTAAGGGTACATAATATGACACATCTCTGCATGCATATAGTTTATTAATATTACTGTCCTAGATGATACAAACAGTTCTGACCTCAAATGATACATTAAATTTTTTTTCATTTTTTTGAGACAGGATTTCACTATGCAGTTCAGACCGGCCTTGAATTCACTTTGCTCCCCAGGCTGACATTAAACTCATAGCAATCCTCCTGTCTCAGCCTCCCAAGTGCTGAGATTATAGGCGTGTGCCACCATGCCTGGCTACGGTCCATTAATTTTAAAAAAAGTACTTGTATTAAACTCTTGAGCCTCAAAATAGAGCATACAGGAACAAAAACTTTTTGAAATTAAAAATAATATTCAGTAGAAATAGACTTTTAAACCATATGGACTTTAATAACTAAATATTTAAAAATTCCCTTAACATCAAAGATAACTGTATTTATTTTAATATCACTCTATCAACATGAAGACTTCAGTGGTACTCACCTAGGGCCAGTTGCACTGACAAATGTATGCATAACAACTGTAAATTCATATCAAATGTCAAATTTCCCCCTTATTATCTTCTTCTTCATGAATTCAACGTCCTGGGAAATGCCTCTTTTGCTTGCTTGTTTTCTATTTTGTTTTATAAACTCTGAGCATTCAGGCAGAAAAGAAAGAGGTATTAAAAGCACAACTGAGAACTCTTAAAATTCTGATGAAATAAGAGTCCAATTAGTGGCAATCTTTTTGGATATTTCCAATAGAAGGAATAGTGAAATAGTGGGCTGCCTACACAAAGGTTGGAGATATTAGGTCATTTCTAGATGGCAGTGATAGACCCAGTGACTTATTCCCTGTAAAATGAACTATCACAGCCTTAGGAAAGAACAGACAGCTCCCCATCTGAAAGACATGTTGCTCATATCTGTACAAATTAATTGACTCTCTTGACTTTCAGATCAGACATCAGAAATATTTTTATTTTGTGCTGAAATAGAGATAGGATTACATGGTCAAATGTCCTCAATATTTGTTAACTTTTTCTACTTTCCCTGCTACCCAAGGCTGCCTGATTCAAATACTTTAAAGGGTGCTTTGTACCTTAATACTGTTAGCAGCAATGATGACCCGGGATTTTGAAAATGTCTGCTTTAGTCTGCTTTAATTGTGGTGAACTCACTAAAAACATATGTGATATATCTTTAAGTTTTTATAATGAATTAATTATAAGGGTTACTGAGTGACAGCTGTATTCCTCATATAGTTATCAAATGCCCACGAGCAGCAAAGGTCTGTTCTGTTTGCAGATATATCACAATGTTTTAGCATCTCTGGATCATGGATGCCAGGGTCCTTCAACTGCTGGTCAGAAAATATAATCTTGCCAGAGTGAGGAATTCTTAGCTTGAGATGGCTCTGGGTGGAGGTCCCAAACAGTAAAGATAGCTCAAAAATTCATTGCTCAAAAATTCACAGTTGGGTTTTAAGTATATTGTAACAGTGCGGGGAAGAACTAGTTCAGGTTTCCTTTGTATTCTACGCATTTTATTATTTGGAATTTTTTTTTTTTTTTTTAGGAACCAACAGCTAAAAGTATATTAGAATGATGCAAAGGCCAAAAATTGCCATAGAAAATTCTATCTGGCCTTAAACCTTGGCAGTAATAACCAGGAGTTTAAAGGCTGCGGGGGCCACGGGGTCAACGGCAAAACCTCTCCGAGAGTCTAGTGTCAGGGGCCTCTGGTCCTTTGCCACACAGCGGTTCTCCTAATCCTTTCATTATCTATATTTTGCTTTAATGTCTCAAATGTACAGCCTCTAAAAATAATCTGGCCAGACCAGGTTATCTTCTCTCTCAATAAGTTCTGATTGCATGATTTGACACACAAATAATTGGAGGAAGAAATTATGATCTTTCTACATTGTGAAAAGATGTTTCTGTTAAAGTTTTCAATGTGCAATTGAAATGCTCCAATTTCTTGTGTATTTAATAGATTTCTCGCATTTTTCCCCCTAACTGCAGAAACAGGATAAACAGAAACACTGAATTCCTTAAGCATAACAAACATCAATCAAACTGCATTTACTCCATGTTTATAAAAGGCAAGGCCACCGTCATAAATTTCTCAATATTTCCGGTCACCTTTAAGCATTTTCATTTATTAATCTCAGAATATTTTAACAGCACATATATGTTCTCAAAAAATTCATCCCTGGGACTTACTGTCAAGTTTTGCTTTCACCAGTCTTAGCTTTATACACAACTTAAAACATTTTCTTAGCCAAAGTTCTATGAAACTTTTCTTTTCTTAGGAAAAGGCTCTGCACATTGACAGAGCCTGTCTGAAATACAGAGAAAGCGATCATATTCCAGTTATATTGTCAGCAGGAGGGGCATAAGCTCCAAAGCACTAAATTCCTAGCGCTGTAAGTCCGTTGGGTTTCACGTTATAAATAAAGAAATTGCTTCGTGACAGCTACGGTTTGGAAGCATTACCATTTTTCTTTCCAACTCTCATTTTCAATCTTTTCAGTTATTTTCCTTAGTAAAACTTAGCCACCAAAGTACGACTTCCTGCATCACTGACCCGTGTGCCACAATGAAAAGAAATAAATCTCAACCAGCCATAACGAAGGTCACAGTCAGCATTTAAGGCAAGGCTGAGCCCTACTGATTTAGCACAAGGCAGCTCTCACTGCCCTCAGTTTCCTTCCCCACCGCCTCGCCCTGTCCCTCCACCCCTGTGAGCCAGGTTACTTCCCGTTGCATTGAGAATGTGGGATGCGTGCTTTCGAGTTGCTGCTTTTCAGCATGGGTCTTCTCAACCATGAAAACACAGTTACAAATTGTTCTCAGAGCTAAGCCACTCAACATCTTGGCACTTGGTTGTTTTTAACTTTTCAACAATAGGCACTGTTCACTTCCCTCCATCTCGGTCCTTTATTCAGTGATCAGGCACTGATGAAAGGCTAGTCACGGCTTCCCCCCATGGTATCAGTGTGGTGGCATGTGATGATTCACATGGGGTGTGTTTGATCCGAGGAAGCCCAGTCTCTGCTTATTCTTCCTTTGTTCTGTCATCTGGGGAAAAGAGAAAGAGAGAGAGTGTGTATTCAGCTGATTTTCTCACTCTTCCCCAGTGCTGATGGGTCACAAACATTTTGTGTCACTACGCCCAAGTGCTTACTATCTGCCATCATATAGAATATATTTATATAAAAAGGGAGTTTTTATTTTTAAAAGAGTGAATTTCCATAAACAGTGAAAAAGGGCAAAGCCCTGTCTGTGGTTAGGAAACAGGAACCATGGCTCTCAGACAGATCTTGCCTGTCACGTAATTATTATCATCACCATAGTCATTTTAATAGTTGGCATGGTTTCTGCTGATATTACTTTTTTATGAATGCTAACCATGTTATGTGATAAGGGGGTGGATTATAGCATTGAAGGGGCAGTTATTAACGATGATCTGCCTTTCCCATGAGTTTAGTAATTGGTAGCTTGGAAGAAGATGTGATCACAAAGTGTGCACACGTCCCTATTACTGGCATCTGCTGCTTCTTCCCCCTTTCTGTAGGAGAAATGTCACATAGGTCTGGGCGAGGTGGTAAGCAGAAGTCCCTGCCTGCTGGGCTGTGGTTCTATAGCACAGTGCAGGGTCTCTTTCCCGGAGTCTACAGTCTCCGGAGAATGACCCCTGGAGTCTCCAGGTCTCCCCACACTCAAGGTGGTCAGTGCTTCCGCCCCCAGCTCCCTCGCCTTGGGCACACTGACCTGCTCCTTAAGCTCCGCCAGCTGACCTGACAGCTGTTTGACCAAACTCATGGTTGATTCCAGCTTCTCCTGTAGGTTCCGGATCTCGTTTTGCTCACTGTCACTTTCATTGCTAACGAGAGACATGGCTCGCATCCGAGGAAACCAGTCCAAATTCTTTTCCTAAATGGAAATAAATGTGCGGAACAAAGGAATTAGTACAGAAGAGAGCCTGAAGTCCTATAAAGAGTACTTGTAGGTGTTTCTTAGTATTAACCTGTAAACCAATACCTCCTAGAACTCCTACCGAAAGGTATTCTCTGGCGGGGTAGGGGTGGGGCTAGGGCAGGAATCAAGGGCAGGTTGGTTAGACACTGGTCTTCGTGAGCTGGAGAAGGTCTCAAATATTAAAGCAAACTTTTTATGGGCTCCCAGTGAGGTCCGGGTTGGAGCATTTAGAAGAACATCCTGCACCCTCTGGGCATCCAGCAGACCCTGATGCAAGATGAAGTAGGGTGTGGAGGCTGGGAAGGAGATCCATGTGAGCTAGCACTAGAAGAGGCATGAGCAGTTTCTCTTTTTTCCTGACACAGGAGAGAAAGGGGTGGTAGAATAGGAGGGCGGTGAAAGAAAGGTTTCAGTTCTAGCTGCCTATGCTAGTTTCCCTCCCACTTCCCCTGTTGCGGCTCCCCACCGGCTGCACTCAGGGAAGATGGGAACGGGAGGGGCTGGCCCTGGGTTACTCTGTCTGCTCCCTTTGGAAACACTATTACACTGGGGTGACTTCCGCAGACAGCAATAGCTGGCGCCACTTCTGTTTTTCAAGGCCAACAGAGCATGTCTCATGTGTGCGTGCGTGTGTGATTTCCTCTCCACTGTGATGGATACGTAGATGTCCTGAAAACTTTGCCTGATTGCCTGACATCATAGAATCAGCAGGCATTACTTACATTACATTTTTGAATTTTTTAAAGGTAACTCATCTTGTCACCCATTTGACAGATAATAAAACAACAGCGTCTAAGAGGTTACCCCAGCTAGGTTACCCGTAAGCCAGTAAGTGACAGAGCTGGGATTTGAACCCTTTGTACCACAGATTGGGCGTGTCAGCCTAGCTCCAGTTAGACAACGTTTCTCTAAGTCACGTCCTCCCAACATGTCCACCAGTGAGATACCCACTTAAGATCCTTTCCTCTCCAGGAAAGTGCCCTGACACGGCCAGGACACCTTTGCCTGGAGAATTCCAAACATGTGGGCCATCAGAGTCCTCTCCTTCTTCAAGATACAGTGGAGTCCATGCACCTCTGGACGGCAGACACCCATCTTCCCTGGCCCCTGGGTTGGCTTTGTGTTGCCGCTAGTTAGGGAATAAGAAGTCCTTTAGAGTTTCCTACCTCCAATGGCAGTGAAAAGGGATGATAAAGGATTCAAGATAAAACACATGGCAGAGTTGAAAACTGCATTTAAACAGTTGTAGCTAATTAGCATTTCAAAGCTGAACAGTCACTTCCTCTGAAGTACAGAGTGACAGATTCATTCATTCGATCAATCCTTCAACATCTATTGTCAGGCATTTAGGGATGAAAGTCAGATAAGACTGTGTGTCTGCTCTCAAGGAGCTTGTGGCTTAGGTCTAGTGGACTGCACACTGTGTCTATCAAAATCCCCTGGGGTTGCTCATTACAATTTCTGATTCCGACTCTACCACCTCTCACCAAGTCAGAACCCCAGGGCATCTGTGCAATTCTTATTCTGATGTCAATAAAGTGTAAGAACCCTGGTCTACAGAGACAAAAAAAATAAAATAAAATAAGGACTACTGCTGGGGCACAGGATAGGGACCCATTTGATTTTTGCAGGACAGCACAGAGGGTCCAGCTGAATAACGACTGCAGTGAAGACTACTGTTTGCCAACAGCCTGGCAGGATGTGTAGATGAGGCAGAGAGCTGATGGAGACTGGAGCTGGCATCAGAACAATATAGGTGTAGGGGAGTACGGGAGGTCAGCAAAGTGGTTGGAGCGATGAACACTCATAGTGTGAAATGGCAGGAAAGACAGAGAACAGAACCGCACTGCATGCTCTGCAAACACTTACTCCTTTCAACAATCCAATGAACTTAGGTTCTACCACCTATCTTAGTACCTATATTATCTGAATTTTACAAAGAAACTGAGGCTAGCAAGAGGATCAGCTGGGTCCCAAATCAGATCTATCTGCATTCTGGTCTGTTGGGAAGACAAGTGACTGCAGACAGAAAATAGAATACATTTAAGATCTGAGAAAAAAATAAGGGAAGAACGGAAGGGGGCAGGAGGATGGATCGCTTGCAAATGGGAAGAGGTCCAGGGGATCAAAGGCAAGGTGCGAGGGGGAGGGGATGGGGAACTAGGTAGAGTGAAGACATGCCCTGTACAGGACCCTAATAACCTCAGTCAGTGTGGGCGCTGTATGCCATAAACAGGAACAAAGATTAATAATATCAACAAAAATGACAAGAGGGAAAAGGCAATTACAGAAGGAGGCAGGGGCAAGGAAGGGGATTTAAAAAAAAAAAAGCTGTTTTGTGGACAGATACCAACTTTCCAAGATGACTGTAAAATACTACATAGACTGCAAACATGTACTAATAAAATAAACGGTTCTGAAAGAAGGACAGCTTCAGGAAATGAAAGCTCTGGGGTGAGTGCCTTTGCATCTGGTAAAAGTAAATAACACCTAACTCTGGAAATTACTATTTATCAGGGATAAAGTTTTAGTCACTGAAGTTCAGAATCTCTGGAGATGGGTGGCGATGATGATTACACACCAGTGTGAATATTCTTAATGTCACAAACCTATATGTAAAATGGTTAAAATGGTAAATTCTTATATATATATTTCACTACAGTGAAAAAGCACAGGATTTGCAGGGGCTAATTTTTTGAAGAACTGTGCATGGAGCCCCTGAGGTCACCCTGAAGATGGTGAGTCAGGAGTTTAGGGTGGATGAAGAGGCCGTGAGCCCTCAGAGACCAACATCTGTGCTGAATGACCAAGACTGACCCTGGGGTAGTAGAGCTCAGGGAGAGAAGAACTGGGAATTTCACTGAGAGGTTGAAGGTGTGACAATTTCGTAATGACAGGGAGCTGAGAATTTACTGACCCTCTTCTAGGGCCCTTAACATAGAGGGGTTGGGCAAATGAGCAGGTGCAACCAGAATGCTAAAAGGGAAAGGCTCCTCCCGGGACAGCCTGAAAGGTGGCACTGTCGGGGAGCACAACCGTCTACAGGAGGACGGAGACTCCAGAGGGGCTGCAGCAGCAGGATTTGGGAACGTCAGGTGATTGGGCTTAGGGTGAGAAGGTACCATGTGACAGGCTGATGCCTCATGTGAGGGTTTGTGAAAACATTAACTATCAGGGAGTTTTCAAATGGAACAGACACAAAATGTTCTAATATTCAACAGAATATTGCTCTGCCAGTGCAGACACAGGTGAGAGCTTGTGAAAATTCCTCCAAGGAAATAGTACTGCAGGCATCTCAGGGACGAGGGTCAGACAAGTCCATGGGCCCTTCTTGCTTCTGAAGAAACAGCTACAGTTCTCTGCAGACCACCACTGCAGCCCCTGGACCATGGGATTCTCATTTGCTGTGCACTTTCTTCATTTGTTCCTTTATTTATCCACTCATTTAATAATTCTTACTTATGATTTCTACTCTGTGTTAGGCACTAGAAAAATGGCAAAAACCCAGCACAGTTCTTGTTTTAAAAATTTATAATCTGGGTAGAGAGTGTCTTGGTTACTTTTCTCTTGCTGCTGAGACAAAATACCTGACACCCAAAATTAAGGAAGGAACGGTTTATTTTGCTTACAGTTTGTGGAGGTTTCAGTCCATACTTGGCTGGCTCCGAGGCTGAGTGGCACATGGCAGAGGGCAAATGTTCATGGTGGCAGAAAACAGCAAAGTAACAAGAGCAAAAGGGAGGAGTGGTGGCAGGCAGCCTCTTTGTCTCCCATACATATGCAAAACTACCTGCCCCAGGGTGCGTGTAGCACTCACACCCATAATCCCAGCATTAGACTATAGATGGATCATAAACTCTAGAAGCCTGCCCCCATGATTTCATGAGGCTTTGGGGGGACATGCAGATACAAACCATAACAGTAAGACTTCCATCAACAGGTGACAAAAATCATGATAAGCTATGCTTAAGTTCTAGGTAGGAAAGTCACACGATCTTCTTGTCCTTTCTCTAAGTTGCTAAAAGTCATTCTTTCTTTCAACTTTGTTCTCATTTTTCCCAATTTCGTTCCTTTTGCTTTTTAATGTTTATTGTTTTGTTCTTCTTTCCCTTTATATACGAACTGAAATGAAAATATAATGTGTGTTTAATTTTTTTCACTATTGAGTAAAATCTTATGGTTCCCGCCTTAATTTTTAAGAGACCTGAGTTGAACACTTTATATCTGTCACTACAATGGGAAGATATAACCAACTTCAATTGATGTTTTTTTCTGTCTTATTTCTTTTTTCCAGAAAGCCAGTCTTCTAAAAATTAGTTTCACAACTGATGTTTTTTAAAATCGAAAGCTCCCAATTAAACAGCTAGCAATTCCTCTCTCCGCTCTGCTGGTTCCCATGGAAGCCTCATCTTGAAAAAGTGAACTCCAGACCTCAGCCGAGTTGGAGTCACAGACAGACACACAGAGCACTTACTAGCTAACAGGATAACACTTCTCCCCTCGTGGTGTGTTCCCCACCTAACAAAGCAGTCTGATTTGAATTGCTGTCCGTTGTTTACGCATATGTGCTATGGACATCTTGTGAGCATGCACATGATTATTAGATCCTCATATTGACTTTGGTTAGTCAAAATGAAATCATTTCCTCATTTCTCCAGGAATGCAAATATTTGACCACAGAGTAGTATAAAGTGAGGAACGCTGTGGATCAACTGTTAGACTTTGAGGCTATAACATATGTCCTAATAACTTGATGAGTGGAAATTGAGACTTTCTAGAGGTTTCTAAGTGCAGAGCTCAGAGATGAACTCGTTGTGACTCTGAGATGTCACCTAAGGACACAGTTCGCATGCCAACTGTAACCCTTTTGCTGTCTCTGAATTCTATAATGTTATCTTTCTGGAAGACCAATAGATAGAAGTATCTTCAACAACAGTCAGATCCATTTGCCCTAT